CTGTAAATAAAAATTACAAGCCTCAAATCTCAAGCTGCAAAAAGGTAATTTAATTAGTGAGGGAAAAAACAAGCAATTGACCAAGAAAAGTAAATAATACTGACGTGAAGGTGACAACTATTAGTATACGTTAAAGTTCATGTCAGTCAAAGCAAAAAAAAAGGACTCCATATTTGGCAAGAACGATAAGTACAACGCAAAATCAGATAATCTTTTTAAAAAAATACATATTAAAGCAGTATAAGAAAAAAAAGTGAAGAACAAATAAACGAACCGCTTCTGGAGGTATCGGTGATGTTCTGGTGATGTAACCATTTCCTGCTGGATGTCTGTATTGAGGAACATCAAAAGAATGACTGTGCGATGGGTCAAATTGATTTGTGTGGAAGGAAGGATAGGATGAATGTCCATAGGTGGCGATCGGTCCAATATGTGAAGTTGAATAATAGGATGTTGAAGAACCTTAAAAAGAATAAAAGCAATGGAATAAACACAGAAAGCTTCTATCCAAAAAGTTGGTTGAAAGCAAAAATTGGCTTTTAAATTTTCGATTTCGGGACTTAATCTCTACGCAAAACAAAGAGTTCTAGGGAACACAATTAATCATCACCTCAAAGATTACACTCAACGCACATATAAAACAATTGAAGTCTGAATTTTCCAAGGCAAATAATGAGTGATGGGTAAAGTAGGTTTCTTACGAACATTTACAGGAGACTGCCCATACCATTGGGCTCTTAAAGAGATTCAAGCTGTGGTGTTTAAATAACAAAAAATGTTAGTATGGTAACACAACTCATACCTAAGGGACAGCCTGATATTGAAGGCGATATTGTCAACCTTACTGATAAACCAGACTTCTTAATTAGCGTAACAATGTCGTTATGGGGTAACTGGATAATGTCAATGCCATTAACGGCCACTACTCGATCGCCCACGCGCAACTGTCCGCAAAGAGCTGCTGGTGATCCTTCCACTATTCGTCCTATAACTTCAAGATAATTAATGGCAACAATGCGAAAAATGTCTTCCCAATACCAATTTCTATATCATTCGCGTTGAATCCAAAAAATAAAGAGATATTTCATGAACAAGATAAAACGAACCGATAGTACTTCCGTTATTGTTCAGAGAAGATATGATAACAAAACCGAAACTATCACCATGATTTCGATTCAGTATAACATCATAGGTAGCAGATGTCGCACTCAACTGATTAACTGGAGCAGAGGTTGAACGTGACAAATCTGAAAAATCAAAATTCAATATTTTCTTCGTTCACACCAGGATTAGGTGCAACGTAGAGATACATGCATCAATGTGAAAGATGTAATTTATATACGGAAATGATCAAGAGACTTTACCTCCAGTTTTAGGACGACGAACAACCAATTTGACGTGTCCACTAGCAGCTGCTTTCTGCATTAGCTGTACAGCCATTGCATGGCTTTCACCTTCAACATTCTTGCCACTAATTTCAATAATTTCATCGCCCTGATGTAAGCGACCATCGTCTGCTGCAGCACCTCCAGGTACCACCTGACCAACTGTAATGTTCGTCCCTTCCTGCAAATAACGCAGAATTATTGTTGATAACATATCTCTGTTAAACGTGTTTTCAATGAATCTAACAAGTACTAAACTTTCAAGTAATTTGAAAATTTTACTTCAGTTCCACCGACGACTCGAAAACCAAATCCATTTGGCTTCCTGATCAGATTAACTGTTACCGTCTCAACAGTTGAAGTTGCAAGAGAGGCCATTGGCATGTAATTAGGCGTCGCAAATCCCAAACTCGTCGATGAAGGTCGCAAATTCGAAAAATTCTCATAAATATCCTCATTCGGATGCCGCTCATGTTGCTAAAATGTGTAAAGCTTTGGCTTCCTTTTATAGGATGCATCAATAAATACAGGACTTGGGTAAACAACTCACCCACTTATCCAAAAATTTAAATTAAAGAACAAAATCAAAAATATGGCACTGGCCGATACAAGCACACATATAAGCGTGACCAAATTGCTGGAAACATAATGACAATGTTTCAAAATGTTCTAGCATAATATAACAAGAGATTAAGTGTAAAGTAATGCAGTAATTACCCTTGGGATCGTATTGCCAGACGCATGAGCACTAACCACTCCACCGTTTGAAATGGTTAGGCCCTGACTAGTTGCAGGCAGTAATACAGAAGGATGAGGATAGGCTTTCGTAGGTCGCGGAGGATGTGGTGCTGGGGTTTTCGATCGTGGCATCAATGTTGGAGCTGGACTAGGCCTCTGTTCACCATAGCGAAATGCTGCTGATGGAGTGCGTGACCTGGAAATACACGAACATGGATTATGATAACTAAACGAAAGAAATGGTGAACGTAGTCGAAACTTGCAACCATAAAGAAAAGATGAATATAATTTCAGGTCCCTATAAGCATTCAGAGATTTTCCAGAGGCAAAAAAGTTTTTTTTTTTGAAATCATAAAAACGATGCAACAAATACTACCGTCAACTGAAATCTGAAGTATTTCTTAGCAAGATTTCGTTTTTTTTTCTATTACAACAATACTAACAGTAATATTAGCAAACACCAAGGAAATAGTTTCCACCTGTGCTTCGGTGAATTCCTCCGTACAATCAGTTTAGCCCAAAATCCAATAGGACAATCTCTTAGGACAGAAACTAATTCATGATGTGGCATTCCTCGGAAATTAGTGATACGCTCCTCACCCATGGGACAGCTTGGATTTCCATGAGGATATGTGGTTCGCATCTCCAAAAGAGTGTCACCCTCCAACAAATTCTCACATCTCTCCGGATATAAAATTTTTTTTCACCCGTTGTCCCTGTATACTTTCGAAAATCGTGAATCCGAAACCATCACTACCCTAAAAGGTGAAATTTTTGAAAGGAAGTTTTCAAAATATTGAAAAACAAATTCCGGAAATATCCTTTTTTTTTTTGTTTTTCCACTTTTTTAACTCGTAGGCAATGATGAAAATCTGATTGAACAAAAAAAGAAAAATGAAAAACCTTATTGATAATAACTTCTTTCACATCGTCTGATCGTGTAACATATGCATTCTCAGTGACAATCTGAAGAGAAGAAAATTAAAACTTTTTTAATTCATAAATTATTGAGTGAAAAAAATCAACGCCAAAATTTCTTTACTATAATCATAAACGTTGTCAAATTTATGATAAAAGGAAGAAGAAAAAGTTGGAAATAGAGGAGAGGGAGTAAGAAAAGAAAAACCTTATTTGTAGGATCGAAAAGCAGTGGATAGCCGCGGCAAATTTGTAATGTTACGAGTTCACCGACACCAATTGACTGAAATATTAGACAAGCATGGGCTTGTGATGCGCCTAGGACACATTCGCTGTTAACGTATACGAGGACATCACCCATTTGTAGGACACCGTCTCGATGGGCAGGTCCACCAGGTATAACATTCTTGATCTGAAAACAAGAATATGAAGGAAAAGGACATGAACATTTTTATTTTCATTTTTTCCAAATTAAAAAATTATGCATATTGAGTTTGAAATTAGTAAGCTGAAATTGCAGTTATATTCGTAAAACTTTTTAAATTTGAAAACTGGAAAACGAGTATTGATTAAGAAATTAATGAAACAGCAAACCTGCAAGAATTCATCCTGTAACGAACTACCATCATTGCCAATTAATGTAAAGCCAAGTCCTTTTGGTCCTTTGACAATACGTGTAGTTATAAGTTCACCACGAAGTTGAGATGGATCCCTTGAAAAGTCAATAAAACAGTTATTTGTATGTAATATCTCCTCATCCATTTGAATCATATATTTGGATATAAACTGATTAAATTAAATCAATAATTTAATTCAATTTCATGTCATTTGATAAAGTTCGTCAAGTTAAAATGATACCTTGTGAAATTGTAAATAGATGCAGCAATATGCGATGGTGATGAATGATTACTGTAAAGGGTTGAATGTCTCCTTGATCCTGTACCATTATTATTTAGAACGATCTTCGTACTACTACTTGCATCATGATTATTAGCATAGGCATAGGAATGTGATGAATGTGGTATTACATCGGTTATCTTTTGCAGTGATGAACTGGATGGACGTTCGTATTGAGTACGTTTATTCACGTGACTAAAAAGTTGCAAATATTAATGCATTGCTTACAAAATAGATGATATATTCCGTGGATTTGATGTTTGTAGTAAATGAATCCATAATGAGATTATTTATATCTTCATTATTCAATTATCACTTTTCAACAGCAGTGATAACAAGTAGTCTGACATGATTTCAGATGTTTCGGGTCATCTTAAAATCTCGAATTCTGGACTGTTTACCAAATCACCCATAGGTAAGCAATTCCGAATCCCGGATTCCTCATCTGACAGATAGAATATTTAGTTAGAACAAAGGAAGAAAAAAGAAAGAAACAGAAATGGTTTGATTAACTTTGAATATTACTAGTCCAAGTAAATATCAGGGACACTTTACCTGCAGAAGATAATCTGATCAAAGAACATCATATTGTCACAAATATGTGACAATATTTTTGGTCAAATCAAATACATCTGCCCTCCTTTTATCTTATTTACTGTAAAAAATCCATGAAATTTCGCATTTTATTTATGCCGATGTACTTTATAGCATAAAATATGAGAATAGTTGTTATTAAAAAAGGAGAGAGGAAGAAGGTGAAGAGAAATTAAGGGGAAAAAAGAAGACTTATAAAGTATGAATTTCTTTTTTTTTTTATTTGGCTAAAATCATTCTTGCAGCAATGTAAATAATAGCTCAAAGCATAAAAGATGAGGCACTGGGTATGCATGGATGGCACCAAAGACACTTTTTTTCCTTTGTTTTTTTTTTTTTTGTAAATCAATAAAATAAGGAAGATAGGAAGAGAGAGAGAAATTTCAAAAGTAAACTATCATTCGAACAATATGTAAACATTATATGAGTGACTACAACAATCCGAAGATTTTAGTTCAAATTTTACAAATAAATTAGTGAATTTACGGTGTTAAATCAATTTTTTTTTCTCTCTTCTCTTTCGCATATAATAACCAATGTAGAAAAAATGAGGGAAAGAGGTAATTAAGAATGAGAAACCCTCGTAACCCTTCGCACCGTCGGGAAATGGATTACAAGATTGTAGGGGTGTAATCCAGGCTAGGATCAGGTGACAACGATTAGGAAGAATTTTATTCTTTGTGAAACAGCGAATACCACTACTTAGCGACCATTAAGAGAGATTAATGGATCCTGTCGTAGCAATGAACTTTAAATCCGTTAGTTAAAAATTCCATTCTCTGCCAATTTGCTGATAAAATCTTGTCACCATCATCGAAATCCTATTACTAGCACAATTTTGTGCTATAAATTTGAAATTATATCAGAAAATTTAAAGTTAACAGATGCAATGTCTCTTTGGATTCCAGTAAATCCCCACAATTTTATGATAAAATATGGGGAATTTTAATGAATTCGACAAATTATTGAAATTGCATCAAGGTAGAATAATTGATGGACATCTTGATATCTTTACCATTTCTATTATCCCTTTCAATCAACCATAATTATAAGTTCATAAACTTTGTGGCTTAACACAAACTTCTACCCTGATAACCTGGATACATTGCGTCCAAGATATACCACACAACAGATAATTGAATTTGTTAAATACTTACTCGACATAAAATGTCCCATAAATACCATCATTCACTTTTTCCCAACCATCGGGTAAATCCCTTGGATCTTCCCATTGTGTTGTGCCAGTGTTATGACTAAAAGGTAAAGGTATAAAAAAGGTAGTAAGTAGTAACACATAGTCGTAGTACTAATAATAGTAGTAGCAGTAGTGGTAGTTAGCAGTAGTAGTATTTAAGAGATCTTAGCAACAATAATTTTATAAGAATTTTTAAGAGCATTTCTGGGAAATGGCTAAACAAACAAAATCAGTGAAATGATATCGTTTCAACTCAGATATACCGGAATAATTATTTGGTACTGTTTTAAAAGCAACAATTGGTTAATTCAAGTTTTGAAAATTACAATATATAGCTTACTCAACAAAGTATTTTTCGCCTTGATCGGAGTATGCAATCTCCCAGTTGGGAGGTAACGGTCCCTTCGGATCGCTTACCATTTCGTCATCCTCCACTGGTTTTGGTGTTCCATAATAATGTCCTATAAGGATGAAAGTTTAAAATCAAATATTTTAAAGGTTGAAACACAAAAACACTGAATTAAATAGCGAAAATATTCATTTCTAAAGCAATTATCATTGTTTCAATCTTAAAAAATGCCAATGGAATCATTTTGTGGGCGGTAAATGAGAGAGGATAGTGAAAAACAGATCAACATTTGTGCAAAAAGGTAAGGATTGATTGCAAAATAGGGAAAATAACATGGAGGGATAAAATTTGGTTTAGATCGAAAGGTAAAGAGCAATTCAGAAAATGGAAATATAATTTGAAATCTAATTTTAATAACAAAAAGTTGGAAGCCACTTTACATTTCGATAGCTATAAATTCAATGAGTTAGACAAGATGAATAGAGCACGGATAAAGGAGATTTGTGGAAGAAATTTGGACAACATTACTGCTTATTGATTCGAAAAGAAGCGGGAATAAAAAACAGTACAAAACAAATTATTAAATTGGAAGACAAAATTAAAACCTGAAATTAACAAAAAGTTAGGAGGAAAAAAAAACAAGAATTTTAGCAAGATTTTATTGTCCAAGCAGATTTTACCATTTTAATAAAACCAGTTAAAAGGAACACATTTCTCATTTTTAATTTAAATTATCTTATACGAAAAAAGAACAAAAAAAAAGGATGAAAAAAAAAGATGAAAAGTAGAAACGAGTTTCGATATGATGTCACAGCTTTCAATCATAACTTCGTCCTTCCTTCTTTTTTTTTCTCCTTCTCCTTTGAAATACATATACTATTGAACTCATCAATAATCTAATCCTCCTTTCCAAGAATAAGATCTTTCTCGTTGTGATGATACGAGAAAGTTAAGAACCGAAATGATCGATGAAAATAAATTAAGTTCGATGCAAATTAAATTATGCGATCCGTTAACCTAAGCATCTGTTACACTTGGAAGTTTCAGGAGCGTTCGTAGAGAAATGGAATGATATCTAGAAGATCGAAAAAAATACACCACAATTTACGAAATTTTTTTAGGCTAAACTGAAAGAAAGATGAATATTTAATACAGAATTTAGAAAAATAATGTGTTAAAAATGAAATATTCAACTTTTACCACCAAATTATCGTTAATTTTTTGAGAAAATTTATTTGAAGTCAGGAAGAAGTTTAACCAAGCGAAGCTGATTAAATGACTGTAATGGAAAGTTTGTTGAAGCGTTACAAAACTGATAACAGTATTACCATATGAAGCGATACATATCAACATGATAGTAACAGATATTGCTTATCAGTAAGGAATATCATTTGTTACATTTGACGGAAAGATACAGACGTTTGCTGCATATATCAACAATAAGCATGCATCGTTTTTCAAATGAAATGAACAAATGAGGACGAAAGTTAGAAAGATGATCAAATAAAGAGATGATTCGAGGCCAAACAAGGAGGCAAAGGAGGAAAGATATGATAAAATCAAACATATTACATCACACCGACACATAAATAGATGTCCCTCATGTGCTCGTTAAACTTCACATATCACAAACATTAAAAAGAAAAGTTTAAGCGAAGTAAGGCATTGCAAAGCTAGTGATAATTTACAGGTACTGCAAGATATGTAAATGTATCACAATTAGACGGAGGGAAAAACTTATTTCTTTTATTAATTAAAATTATAAGTTTATTATTCAATATCGTACACCGACATCTTCAGGAAGGTCTTGGAAATGATACAATGATAGATAGACAATAGCGATCGAAAATAATCAGGCTTTAGCTCACCAAAATGGTTCAGGATGATTTAGTGACTTATTTCCTGTAATACAGTTAACTGAATAGGTTTCCGATAGTCTGAATTAACCTTTAAGCTTCCGGAATATCCTAAAGAAGTCCATAAATGAGGTAACAATAACCAGAATTCATAAGAAATTAAATTAAAACATTAAATTCAAAATTTACGGTTTGGACGTATTTAAGCGTGAACATATATAGTTATAAATCACCAATACATTATGTTGACTCATTACTATGAGTCACAAAAGAATTTTTGTAATTAGAAAATTAAAAGACTAGAGAAGTTAAAAGAATCAGACTGGAAAACATTTCCTCGAGAATTCTCGGCAACAAGAGTTTTAATGTTAACGTATCAGAGCATTTATCAAATGCAATGGATTAATGAGTAGAAAAATTAACTTGGAAAAGATATTTTAGAATGTTAAGATCGTCTTTAAAAGAAAGAATTTCAAACACTTTCTTATCCGTTCATGTTTGAATGAAAAATTGTTCAATGAAATCAAATTATAGACGTGATTGATCTAACCGCCCGACAAGAAATTCGTACAATTTAACAGCAAAATTCTGAATATTCGCTAATGAAAAGAAATAGGAATTTTGTCAAAATAAAAAAAAAATAAGAAATGAAATGAGAACTCTATAAAAAAGAAATAAAAATTCTCATCAAGAATTTCTCGACGAATGAACACATCAAGAAGTTAAACAAACAAATTTCACGATTAATGCATGCAATGAAAGTGTTCAGTTGGTGGTTGTTTAAGTATTTTAATGATAAATTTGATGACATTCTCTTGCGGATTAATTGAAATAAATTTTGAGCTAACACAAATTTCAGCACTTAAAAAAAATAAAAGTAAAAGAATGAAATGATTATGGGGAAAGCAACAAAAGTTTGCAACCATTTAGTAGTCACTGGAACATAATTAACATTTTTTTTTTTTCAATGAAATGTATTAAGAACTACTTGAAGATCAAATATTAATTTTTATAAAATTTACATTCATATATTCAGCTAAAACTTATAATACAACATTTATGGATGTTTTTAATAATTAAAAAAAAAAATGGATTAAATATTTTTTTCACAGAAATATTGCATGAAAAAAAAGACAAGCCAAATCCCGAGAGGAATTTCCGGCAAGGAATACTCAATCCAAACCGTTAATCGGATTTTAAATTCCCAGCCAAAACATTCCTGTTTGATGCATTCAAGCGTGCCATTTGTTCATTTGCTTATCATTTCCATCTTTTCCTCTTTATTTTAGTGGTCAGAACATTTCATACAATGATAAACATAAACACAAACAATGATAACTAAGCTGCTCAAAAATCACTGCTATCAAGTATTTGATTAACACCTGATAAGTGATGTGTATACTGATGGCGTGTACACTTTTTTCTCATTTGTTCTTGCATGAAATAACTTCTTGACTTCGCAAATTCTTGTCACCGATTCTTGATTAGTGCACAGAACAATCGGACATATCCCGTAGAGTGTATAATTTATACAATATCAAGGGAAAAATAGAACAATATGATAACATTCGGGATCATTTCTGGTGAAAACAAAAATTCATGCATTGAGAAAGTTAGAAATAACAGTGAGAAATATCGCGATGTGACCATATGACAGAGATGTCATCGCATTCAAACTTTTTCGTTTTCTTCTCTCCTTTCTTGGAAATTTTCCCATTTCGATAAAGAAAGAAACATATGATGAAATGACGATTTTTGGTGCAACAATAAACGGTAAAACAACCCAGCAATGAATGATGCAAAAGGAAAAATCAATCAATCAATAGATATTATTGTAAAGTATTGGTGGAAAAAGGAAGGATAAATATGTTGCAAGTTTAGGGTAGCATGAATAAGCAACTTTCAACAAACGGTTGTAACAGGTAAATGGAAGATGAGTTAGTTCCACTTAGGCCATTGTCAACAATACACACACCCACACACACACTACGCCAACGCGAAGGTCAATCGTCCACTACCTCCACCTGTTATGATCGCTGGCGGTAATAAATATACGCACACACACATACATACATGCATACATACATACACACATACACACACACATACATACACTACACACATAAACACATACATATATACATAACTACGCAAAGTACACGCACAGGGACATTAACGAATACATATGACATACACACATGCACACCTACACATATGTTCATAGAGCGAAACAAGATGTAAACGTAAGTACTGGTACAAACAATTGAGCACGATGACACACTCTAACATACAGAAATATAGTGAATAACACATACATACACAGATATAGATAGAGATATGGAAACTAGATAGATCGTCACGTTAAGAAGAGCACTCGAAAGGAACCGTCCATCGAAGTGATCTAACTAAAACGATTGTAATGTGAAAGGAAATGAACAAAAAAACCGCACAGTACACCAAGTTTTACAACAACAAAAAAGAAAAATTACAACAACGGCAATGTATCATACCGTAGCAGCTGTCGCATAGCAACTAAGGTCACCGATCATTAATCCTAAATTTTGACCGAGGTAAACAATTTTCATCCACTTTTAAAAAAAAACGTGCTTGTTGAGTTTATAAGAGAAGTGTTAGCAAATTCAAGGATGCTCCTCAATTTTAATTTTGGATCGCATAGAACAGATCGAATTTATATGAATTTTGATGATGAAGCACCTAATACATCAAAGAAATACTGCTAGATATTCTGCTTCCGAGAAATTACAGGATACCTATTGGACTGATTTTTATAGCAGTTTTTAGTATTTCTTAAAATTTCAACGAATACATTCTGCCTAACAACCACGGACAATTCCACGGTTAAGTATGTCGATCGAATTTCGAGGATACATACTACACCTGTTGCAGACAGACTTGTCATCATTGAAGGTCGCAATTGCTTGGCTAAGTGGATCTCTAGTACTGACTAAAGATCGCTGATGTGTGTTCAATCAGGCCCAAACAATTATAGGCTTGCTATACCTAATGTATGGATATATGATGAAGAGGACGAAAAAGTCTGTAGGACAGCATATAACTGTGTAGTATTATTATCGCCAATTACACTTCAGGCGCTAACTGTCTGCTTTAAATTTCGATCTATCACATACGAATATCCTAAATACATTGAAAAACATCAAAACGATACACCGATAAAGTGTGCTTTACGTCAAAAAGTTTTATCTTACCGCCACCATATTTTTGCTTTATCACATTTGTGATCAACTTTTCAAATTGCTTTCAATTTTAAGAGGGATCTATCGTTGCACCAATTTATAGCGGCTTCTTTATTGCTAGTAAATTTATTATGCAAAGTTTTGCAGTAATTTATTAGTAAAGTGGTTCAAAGAGTAAACAATCATCACTTTCTTCTTATTTTACAATAAAAATCCAAAATTTTGAAGTAATAAAGAGCCTTTACAGGGCAAGCATATTCATTCCACCTATTCTATTCATTATAAACAAGTACGGTATGCAGCATTTCATTATCATTTTCATGAATCATTGCATGCTAACAGTCTAGATGACTTCTTTTTTCACTCATTCTTATTCTGTTATTTGACAGCTGTCTGCAAATTAGTTTTTTTTTTTTTTAAAATACATATTCATATTATTTATGGGAAAAATTTCCATAAATAAACTAACCATGAAATGCATGAAAAGGCGACAAACGACATGAGGGGACTTCTTTTGGGAAACTGATGCTTGGCTGTGACCTAGCGTTCCGATACATTAACGACGACAAATGCGCCGCACTGAATGCTCAATAAGTTTGAAAATTGTCCTCACATAGTTATTAAATTTAATATTACGAATAAAAATTCATTTAGTTTCGCGAAATAAACATGTCGTCCGATTTGTGTTGTATGTATGAAAGAATTAGCCTTGAAAATGTCCAAAGTTGACAATAGATCGATGTGGAGTGTTGAATCATTCAACAGCTTATATCGGAGGAGTTTGCTTTACAACATTCAGTTAACTTCGATAACATTTTCATGCCACTTATCATTTTCACTAGTGGTATACAGTCTTCGCCTTTTTCTTATCTATTTCCTCGGGGAAATTTCGGGATGAACATCTTGCTTAAATTAGAACTAACCAGTAATTCATTTTGGCTTAACCTAATTTAATTTAATTTATTCCAACTAGTTTCCCAATCTAATATAAGCCCCAAAGTGCAATTGCTTCTACTAGAATGATCGTATAAATTACGATGTATTTACATTTTCAAATATAACTCATCGAACATACATCAAAATCATTTGAAATAAGCAGAAAATAAAATAAACCAATGGGTATTACGACATTTTCCTACGGATGTCTCTTCGTTACCTCTTTGTATATATTTTCAAATGCGAGCAAAAACTCGAAATCAACGGTATATGATAATCTCTGAGTGATATTTCCGGAAATATTGCTTTTACCTGAGCTAAAAAGCCTATGGCTTATGTTTTCCCAATGATTGTATTCAGATAAAGACAATTCCTAAGCTAAAAAACTTTGACCGGAAGTTTCCTAATAAACTAGCCCAAATGGATGCTGAAATGAAATCAATGACATTAATGATATCACCCAAATAAAAAAGGATATGAAATTTCCAATATTTTCTTGTAATAAACTTATTCATTAAAGTATATTTGACGTACGATAGATGAATTATGAAATTCCGAAATAGCCTACCGTAGGATTCGGGAAATGTTAATTCCAAAACAGTAAAAGAAAATAAAAAAGAATTGCCAACTGATAGTAATGATGGATTGAGTTAAAATTGGAAAGCATTTTTCAAGTAACAATTGATTATTTGATGGTAGAATGAAATTAAATGAAAAATTTTATGGCATAATTTTCTTTTTTTTTTTGCTGAAATGCTTTCAGCTATTCCTTCTAGCATTTATCATAAAACGTACTCCAATTCCAAAAAAAAAAAAAAGGAGAGAAAACCTTAAGCTGTTGCTAACAATGAGATATCAATAATGCATTCATTTTTTATTTAATAGCAGATGGGCAACAAGACCAAAAGATGTAAATGGATCAGGTGGTATCGGATCGGAATGTGAACAGAAAAAGTAGCATAACAAGTAATCGAATATGGGAAAATAAAAGAAAAAATGGATGTAAAATAAAATTTGAAATTCTTTCGAAAAAAAAAATGAAACCTTGATAATGACCATGCTCCAACAATTGATTGTTATCACGTAATTGTCGAAAAGTCGCAACATCAACAAATTTGTAATGCACACCGTCGATTTCACCATTTCGTGGCTGCCTTGTAGTATCTAAAATTATAAACCAATAAATATTTTATTTCAGAATTTTCATTTCAATTTCTTTTGCATTAGTTTAAAATTTATTAAATTTGATCGTTCATATAAAATATACAAATTCGAATTTCACATTTTTTTCATATGTAAAACCAATTTACTGATGAAATGGAGAATTTTTTTTCTCCTTTCAACTTTTATTTCCCTTCAGTGATCTTCAAATTTTTTATTTATACAAAGCACTTAAGGCTAAATGATATCACAAAACATAGGAACGCTAACATGGCACTGTTTTTTGATAAACGTTATTTCGGATGACAATTTGCAATTCTGGGTAATTGTCACCGGCGAGAATTTCTGTTATACTTGATGGAATCGAATCTATAAAGAAATTTCTGTTATATTCATTTTGGAACTTTCTTACCAGCAATTTTCGCATTAATTTTAACCATAAAATTCATTTTTAATTCCATATTTCGAATTATTATATGTATTATAGAAGCATACAAATGTATTGCTTATCACTTGATAGGAAAGATTATCTATCGCAACACTTACTTTTATTTACAATCTCCATATAAAATGATTCATTTATGGCAAATAAACCTTCCAGTAATTTCCGCACATCTCGCAACAACATTCCGGATATTTTCCTGAATGTCGAATCGATTAGAAGGGAAATTTATATGTATTGGTATTAATTAATTAAAATGAAGTAGCGATAATGATGAGAGAAATTTGCAACCTTCCATTGATGGATAAAATGATATCATCAGCTGCTAAAACATGCAATAAATCGGGATGAAGCACCAATTCCACCAGTATCAGATAACCTTCCGCAGATCCGCCCTGTATAGTAAACGGAATGAGCGGCGGTTGGCATGAAATCTGTAACGAATATGGAAATGAGTAAATGCATTATTTATGTTTGCTTAAACAAAAAAAAAAAAGAAGAAACGAAAGTGTACCATCAATGTTTCACAACCACCGATCGATTCAAAAAAAAAAATAGCCATTTCGATAATATGTAATATTCCCCTGGTGTATTCGTTCATTTCCTTTTTTTTAAATTTTTTCAAAAAATTAGGGTAAACAGAGAAGGAAATGATAAGAGAAGTAGACTCAAGATACTTTTGCAACGATATTATCACTTTTTTTTTTTAAAGAAAGAAATGTTTGAAAGATATCAGAAGTAGACGAAAATCCCTCTAATATCAGTTACATCAACAAAAAGCAATAGTATGGAGTAAAAAAAAAAAACAAGCATGTTACAAAACTTTCTTTAAAAAATAGATTTTGCATTTCAATAAATTGATAAAAATATTGGAATAAACAATGAATTCTTCCTGTTTAATCTGACCTGTACAGTCCTTGTTATTGTCTCCAGAAAGTTGCACTTTTTATCAGTATCATCTGATGTGGATGTATATGATGTTTTCCGAGTCATATTGATCGAATTCAGATTTTTTTCCAACGTAACCAAATCAATTTCGCCGTTATTTTCAATCGTTTGCTTGTTGATTAACACTTTTTTGGATGACATCGCTTTAAACTGTACTCAATACAGATCAAATGTTGCTTATCAACTTAATGATAACAGCATATCATCGGTGTATTCTTAAAAAATAATATTGTTAAGGTGCTGTGTAACATACTGACCTGTCCGATGACGCTGTAAATTTGACGAGTAATATATTGTGAATTCCCGATTCAGAAAGCTAGAAAGTTATGTTTATCCCAAGAAAAAAAAAAATCTACCAATTTTAAACTCACCGTAGAAAATGTTACGTGTCCGATTTTTCTTTTTTTAAATGTAACTAATCTAATTTTAAATTCTAAAACTTTTGGAATTCAAGGAAAACTGATGGAAAGCTTTCTTTCTGTCTTATCTTAACTACTAATGCATTCATTCCTGATTGTACAAGGAAACACCTTCCTTTTTTGTCTCACTGATAACGGATATCGAAAACTTGAATTTGAAATGAAAATAATCAATTAGCAAGTAATGCAATGTGCATGCGCAAGCAGGCTCAAAGAAGAGTTCGAAAAAGTGACTTAAATTTCCAATGAAATTGAAATTATGAAGCAAATAAAATCAAATAAATGTGAAAATCCGCTAAACATAGCTGAACATGCGTATGTGTAAACAAATAAAATAAGTAAGTAAATTCCAGTTCATCAATAACACATTTCATTTATTTAAATTGTTTGTCTAGTTTTCTAAGCAAAAAAGGCATGAAAGCGAGGAATGCAATAAGGATGATGAGATATGATAACAGTAAAAAAGAAAAGGAATTACAATTCCGCGGAAAAAATAAGCTCTAGGAACAGGAAGACGGAATATCGATTCGGCAGAAGAATTGAGTTCCGGAAAGATAATTAAGTAAATATATTCAGTACTTAGATGATTAAGTAAATATATTCCGTACTTACAATTCTTTTCCTACCATTCATTTCCTTTTACTTATTTATGTATTATAATTCAATCGTAGAGAAAACTGGGAACGAAAAGTAATCAAATGAAAATGAATGATTGTTGATGCTATTTTTATTTCCCAATGATTTGATGAAGATATATATATTCGTTTCATTGAATACTGCAAAAATTTCCCTTAATTTCGTCTGGTTTATTGATACGATCAAAATTTCAAACTTTTTTAAAATGGTGAATTTCATCAATCAAATATGAATACCATCTCTGCGTATGTTCTTATAGTGTAGATGTAATCTTTAAAAAATTTAAGTTATATTTCCTCATGAGAAAATGCATTAAGGAAAGCTAAAGCAGAATGATAATGTGATAAAGCGATAAGATCAAAATACTCATAACAGTATGTGGATCAAGGAAAAAAAAGAAAAAAGAAGAATTTTCATGAAATAAAAGTGATTTTTCAAAATGAATAAAATAAATGGTACAGGTTGGAAGGAAGAGATTGGAAGTTATGAGAGTAAAATGATGACAAATTACTCCGATAATGCAATAATGATTAGATTGAAGGGAAAGTTGCTCTGATAATTTAATGCCAACCAAACAGCTGTCTGTCATTTTTTAATCAGCTGAATTCCAATGTTGCCAAACATTAGATATTTTTATCAAAAATCTCGAGCATTCAAATAAAACCCTATCCACTCTTGTCAGCATTTTTTAACAACACAAATGAATCAGAAGTGAAATTCTGATCTCAAGAAAGGAAAGTTACTATAAAGAATTCCTGATTCAAATACTTGAATTAATATTCTCATTTAAATTAATTTTAAAAAGTAAATTGACAAGAATAGACGATGAGTTACAAAACATTCTCGTATATTCAGTTAAATTTATTGGAAAGAGAAAAGAGCGCAGAAAATAACGAAATGGGAAATAGCTGAAGCTATTGGATATAAATCTTCTAAAGTTTTCACTTATTTTTCACAATTCTATAAATTACATTTAGAGAGGAAAGGAAAATAAACATTAAGTGAGGGTGTGAAGAGATATTTGGGAAAAGAAAAAAAAATTTTTGGTCTATGACTTATGGACCACTGCCACAAATAATTTCAAATTTTGATAAGTTTAAAAAAAATTGATAAGTTTAAAGATGAATCAATTATCAAAGCTAGTAGCGAATCTCCGGAAAAGTTAATTCAAATTTTAGATTTCAAAAAATAGCGCCATTTGTTTAATGATAAAGCATAATATTGATAAATGAGTACTGGACTTGGACAGGAAGAAGGGAAGAGGACAGATAGTATGAGAGGACAGAAGGAAATTTGGAAACACCGTAATGTGTATATGTGTGTGTCCATCAGTTCTCAGTTCTAAACTAATTTTTCACTTCTGCAACAGCGATTGTCAAACGACACGACCAGGAGGGAAGGACCACTCTCCGGCGCACTGTTAAATTTTCAATGCGCTATAAAACATCCACCATTTACTACTTTTCACAATTTAATTTAATTTAGTAACTAATTCTCACTACTACAACTACAACAACTACTACTACTATTCATGCCATCCATTATCAGATACATATTCAGAAAATGTGCAATAAATCAAACATCAGGAAATTCGCCATTTCCAGATTCGAACATTTTTAATTCAAAAAATTTATCTGCAAATTTTGGAACTGAAATGATCACGAAGAAAATGAATGTGGCATGCGCTTCCCAATAAACAACATCACGATTATCTAACCAAACTTACCTTTCACATTTTAACATCTGAGACCCATTATCATACCTTTCTCCTCCTCTACCTATTTCCTCGACAACTGATAAAATAATTAACCATGAAGAATGATAAGTGATTGGAGATTTGTGGGAATATCATCTGGACTGTCTGTTCGTTACCAGTTATCACGGTAAAGTTCAGAAAACTCTCTTATATCCTAGTTTAAACGACAAATTAGCTAGAGAATATTATTAGCAGTTAGGTAAATTCCAAAGTAGTAATCAAAAATACCATCTGGAGATTTAATATCTATCGGAAAAATAAAATATGGAAGATGGATGTTAAAGGAGATTATGGGATTAGATAGAGTCAGAAAAAACGGGCAATACATCTATTATGCAACAATCAGGTATATTTTTCCTCTTTTGCGCCTTCAGACTACCAGTTATGCTATTATGACAATATTGCTTTGCCGATAAAATACAGTACAATTTGTCAAAAGACAAAATATTTTCAGGGTATAACTCCAAAGGTAAACTGATAATTGGCATCATCATGAAGTTTATCAAACAACAGGTATCAAAGAAATGACAACCGCATAATATTCGTAATTAAATTTTATCATTTCTTCATCGTTCGTCTTTCTTTTTTTCATTTGTCACGGCGTATTTAATTTTTTTTTCATTTGATTGGTAGATGCTACTTTTTGCGAAGTTAGAAATAATAAAGTAGAAAGACTGATAAATGGAAGTCAAAGTGTAATTACAAAAATTATGCAACTCTTTTTGTGGATTATCTTCTCGGCAGAAATTATGAATAAATTGGTGTCATTGACAATGAAAGATGTATTTAAAAAGTTGGAAATGATATATAAAAATAGAAAAAAGTAGCAATTTCAGGATACATTTGCATATCAGACTATCCGGTATAGTATAATTACAAATCCAGTTATTTTTATAAAGACTAAATTACTAGTAATAGAGTTATAAAAATTAATTTATTCGAAATTTTTCGAAACAAATTTCCAATCATCCTTTTTTACTGGCATATTAAATTCCTTTTTTTCCTTTTAGAATGGGTGCTATTTTACAGTTGTTTTGCAAAGTTCGAAACAGTGAAGGAGAATGATTGGTAAAATGAAAGGTCAAAGTGTAATTATAGATGAATAAAAGATATGATTCAATGTCTTGTTTACAACATAACAGCAATAATCTTTACTACATATGTTTGTCATTCATTTCGATAGTACATCTGTTTGTAAAATTACTAGCTGGAAATGAATAATTTACACTTAAAAAAGAAAAATTGACTATTATATTTTGTCATTATTTGTTGAATTTCAATTAATCTTATACTAAACAACGGTCTGATCAGTTGGAATTTAGCAATTAGCCATAGCAATCTCTCGGATACATAGAGATATTCCAGGTAAAACAATTAATATTTTTGGTCTCAACAAGTTTGTTGAATTTCACAAATAAGTGAAAAATCTGAAATATCTCTTGTTTTCAAGACAAAATTTCTAGCATTGCAACCTTCCCTGAAAGAATAATAATTCCCAACTTTATAACTTTATCAAGAGAAACAACTTTGCTACTTTAAGTGTGTAAATCTATTCAAGCATAAATGAAAATAAAAAAAACAAACAAATAAAAATTCAAATCGTTGTAAAAACCAATTTAATATTGAAAGTAAACAGGAAATGATTACATAGAAGATGTAGAAAAACGATGAACAAATGGTAAATTTGATATAATTGTTGCAAAAACGGAATGAATATCAGTCAAACTTTGTTGAAAATCTTTCAATTTATCAAAAAGAAAAAAAAAAAGAAAAAAAGTAGACAAACATAAATAATGCATAAAAAGGAGACAGAATCGATAATGGTCGTGTGACCGAAGAGACCATCATCTTATGATTGCAATTCGGTAACTTCCAATAACATTTGCATCTGATGAGAACGAGGAAGCAATATACCCCAACTGTCCTCTCTTCTCTCCGTCAAATTTTAGAATATTGTTGAATGGACACTAATAGTGACGCGTAACTTTTGCCATCTCATACGATGTCCTCATCTGGATTTATCCGCTTGAGGAAAGAAAAAAAAAAAGAGAAATGGAAAAAGAGGATATTGGATGGATATTTCAATCGGAATTAAGCAGATTACTGGAGTTAAGTGTTTTATATTTCCGGCTACTCCAAAGTATCGTCGAATGATCGATATTTAGATTTATTTGGTATTAAAATTGGCGCAAATCTAAATCTTTGAAAAGACACTGCAATTAAATACCCAAAATGGAAATGAATATGATGAAATTACAATAAATTCAATTAATATGATCAAATCAATCAATCCTAAATGTATATCTGCAGGTTACGAAAATTAACACAAACTACGACTTAAAGACATAATGCCAAGCTTTCCATAGACTAAGCTTCCCACAGGATAAGACCTGATGACATCATGGTCACG